CCCCCCCCCCCCCCCCCCCGAGCAGTTTCAGCCTTGTGCTGTGCTCCCCATCCTCTGCCTCAGTGTAGCATGTGCTAAACCCATGGGCTGAACTCACAGCTAAGGGAGTTCTGGCTGTGGGTGCTGGGGGTCCCCAAAGCCTTGGGGGGCAGGGACACAGCTGGATTGCCTGCGCCCGGACACGGGGCAGGGTCAGGACCTCAGGGCCAGAGGGCAGGGGCATGCCTGGAAGCAGAGCAGAAATGTTGTTTCTGGAGCTGAGCAAATATTTGGGATCCTAATGAGGAAATTAATATGGTGCTGTCCTGTAAGGAATTGTTACGCTTGTTTTGAAAACAAACCCAAACAGCAAGAGCCTCTGCCCTTGGGATATAGAGGTTGGTGCTAGGCTCTTCTCACAGGGGACCAGTGACAGAACAAGAGGGAACGGCTTGAAACTGCAGCAGGGGAGGGTCAGATGGGGCAGGAGGAAAAAATTTGTCCTAAGAAGAGTGGTCAGAGAGTGGAACAGGCTGCCCAGGGAGGGGGGAGTCCCCATCCTGGGGGTGTTTAAGGGTCGTTTGGATGAGCTGTGGGGGGATGTGGGGTAGGGGAGAGCTTGTAGAGTCGGGCTGAGGGTTAGACTCGATGATCCCGAGGGGCTTTTCCAACCGGGATGATTCTGTGGTATCACTGGACATGTACCAGCTGGGTACTGGGTAGGAGTAGGTTTTGCTCCTGAAAACACCTGTTGGACATGCAGTTGCTCCTAGACCTGTGCAGGCAGTTGGGATACTGTGGAGCAGCCCTCTGCTGAGCTACCAAGAGGCCTTAGTTCCTGGCTGGAAATGTCTGTAAAGGCATCTGGTGTCTGAAGTCCTCTGTTGCCCATGGGAACATCCACCTTTTCCCAGGGTAGCAGCTGGTGCCTGTTCCAGCCTCTTGTGGTCTTTTCTTCAAGTCCCACTGGTTCTTCTCTGCGGGTGACAGAGAGGTGCTAATCCGTGGTCTTCCCTCCCCAGCTACTTCACACCTGGATTTTACCAGCTATAAATTTTAGTGGTAGGCTGAGAGCCAAATCCTTCGCTGGTGTGAATGATTCAAAAGGAGAGGTGGCAGGTTTAGGATTTGTCCTTTATCAAAGACCAACCTCCGTGGAAAGGAGGATAGGTGGTTTACCCTCCAAGTCTCTGCCCAAAGCCTTCACTACACTAGTTACAGAATCTGACTTAAAAATTTACATTAACACCCCTCTGCCCAGATCACGTGGGTATCCCATAACTGACACGCATACTTGGCAGAAAAGACAGGCTGTAGTTGTGTGCATAGTTCATTTCCTGAGCAGCCAAACCAACTTCTGAGGTGGCCATGTGTTTAAATCAAACGCACAACGAGTAGAAATACTATGCCTAGTTTCGGTGTTGAAGAACAGGAAACTTCACTGACAGATTTACACGTAGAGGTAAGGGTTAACATGCCAGGTCTGCTGTATCCCAAGATGCTGGGATACTTTGGGTGAGGAATTTTGCATTGCCCTTTTGGGGAAGCACAGGGGATATGGTTTAATGCCATACTGCGGTGTCGTGGTGGCGCAGTCCATTCTGACCTAGCCCCTTGAGGGAGAATAGGGGCTTGTTTTCTCCTGCTCTCCGAGTCAAACTTCCATGGAACATTCCCCGCTGCTGCTTCCCGATATCTGGCTTCAGGTGAAAGTGGAGAGACCAAGCTACTTGGGCCAAGAGGAAAAGTTTACAAGATTCTACATCCTCCACCTCCAAATGCAAACCAAGGAAAGTATTGAGAGGCAGAAGTGTGGGCTGAAAACCCACATGCTCAGACTTCACTTTCTGAGAGAAAAAAAAAAAAAAAAGCTACCTTGCAGTGTTGGTGGCCCGTGCTAGGAGGGCTCTGCTATGCCACAGGGGAAACCTTTCCACGCGGTGTGCTCTTCTCTTGGCTGTTGCCTAGAACTAGCTGAGTCTGCAGTGGTATCTTTGAGATTTGACTGGAGTTGGTTTGTAAAATGGCCCATTTTCTTTGTCCATTATGGCTCACAGGCCAACGTTTCTACAGTCTTCTTTCTGATGAGAGCGTCCTTGGAGTGCTCTGACGTGGATCTGCTGATAACACGTGTAAACTGGTGGGGATAAGCCCTGTGGGATAGATAACTGTGATGCTCTAAAGAAGGAACTCTTGCATCCACGCAAGAGCGTGTAATATCTTATTTTGGAAGTGAAAATGTAAGTTTGCACTTGTGGTGGGAGGCCAAGCTCTCTAACAACTCCTCCTTCCTTCCTGCTTTCAGTTTTTTGAGTTTGAGGCATCTCATCCTGTGGCTAGAGAAGACCAGCTGGAGCCTCATGTTCACCAGTGTCCTTCTGTGGCTATAGTTAGGCACGCTGCATATGGTAGCCACAAGACAACGTGGGTGCAAGAATACCCAGGCATAAAGGCAAACGGACACGCTCCATTTTGCACTGGTCCACAGCAGAGTGGGAAGATCAGTTCGACTTTTCTCTGACGTGTAGTAATGTCCCCTGTATCACCACTGTGTCCGACACCCTTTGGATAGACTCTCCTGGCTGCACAAGTTGGCCAAAGAGAAACTCGGAGCTGCTGCTTGTGCAGCCTGAATGCCAGCAAGCACGTTGGGTGTTAGGATGTTGTTGCAGGAAGTCTTTTCAGCAAGAGGAGAGCTTAAGCAATCTATGTGCTCAAGCTTTTACAAGCTGTCGCTCTAAGAACCAGAGCTGCTAGACCAAGTGTCTGTAAAACGATGGGCCGTGAGTGATGGCAGACCTTCGGAGTGACACAGACATAACCCCTCTCGTTTCTTGGACATGTGCACGAGCCCCTGGTCTACCAGCAGCCTCCCGGGGGCCACAGAGCTGGCCTCGGTGGGGGTGAAATGCCGGCACAGGCGCAGCTGCTCGCTGAGGTGGGGTGAGGAGCCGTGCAGCAGGCGGGTCCCAGGCGCTCTCACATCCTTTACGTGCACCCATGCAAGCGTGTCACGCAACTCAGCTTCGCGCTGCAGCTGAAGGCCAGGTCACACACTCATGCTCTGGTGCCT